ATATATATATATATATATATATATATATATATATATATATATATATATATATATATATATATATGTTAGAAAAATAATTTGATAACTCAAAAAGAAATATTCAAAATCATGTCTAGATTCATTCTTTTAATGGGGTCTTCATTACATTAAATAATTTGAATATATTTCTTTAATATTTGTAAGTGATAACTATCAAGTTTGATTTCAATTTCTACATATTAAAACTGACCATTAAATAGCTATTATGGGATTTTTTAAAAGTCAAATTTTTATATAGCCATAATGACTACTATGCTGGCAACCAAATTTTTATATAGCCATAATGACTATTATGCTGGCAACGCATTTTTCATTATTTGAACGTTACCATCAGATTTGGACATTACCATTAGATAGTCCATTTGTTTTGGACTATATATATTTATGTGTTTTCATCTTCTAAGTAGAGTGAAAAATGTTAAAGACTTTTCTTCTCTTTTCTTTTGTGCTGGGTTTTCTTCTCATAAATCTTTATTGTTTCTGCTCCTAGTTATATTAGAAGAGCTTATTGAATCCTGGGGGATACACCTAATATTATTCATCTCGGTGTGGGCGAAATATCCTTAAGGACAGTGTCCTTGACACGCCTCAAGCTAAATATTATTCTCCATAATCCAATACTTTTACAACAATCTTAAGGATATTTACATTGTTATTATGGAGAATAACGCTGCTAATGTTGTTGTTGATGCTACTACTCCTGCTGCACCAACTGTTTCTGTTGCTGTTTTTGGTGGAGATAATTTTAACCGCAAGCACGCTGTTGTTGACAAAGGAAAAGAAATTGCTACTAGAAGCAGCCTTGTGGAGGAGAACAACCGTCAGAGAAAATCAAGTAACAGGTATGATAAAAGAAATGGTTATATGCCCAAAACCAACAATCAAACCTTCAAGGAAAAAGGCAACTGCTTTGTGTGTGGCAAACCTGGACACTGTATTGCTCAATGCCGAAAAAGGGTTGGGAATGACAATCCCACTAAGGCTAAAGTAAATTTGACTGAAGCCAAAGTGGATGATATAATTGTTGCGGTTGTTTCCCAAATGAACCTTGTGGTCAATGTGAAAGATTGGGTGTTAGATTCTGGAGCCACTAGGTACATATGTGCTAACAAAAAAGACTTTGTGTCTTACACCCAAGTTGAGGAGGGAGAAGAAGTTGTCTATCTTGGTGACTCAAGAACTACTCAAGTTCTTGGAAAAGACAAAGTTCTTCTCAAACTCACATCTGGCAAAACTTTGGCATTGAATGACGTGTTGCATGTTCCTAGTATCCGAGCCAATTTGGTCTCTGTGGGATTATTAGAAAAAGTGGGGGTGAAGGTTTCTTTTGAATCTGATAAGGTCGC